GAATTTGAAATGAATTACTTCTTTGATGTCCCAACAAATGCAAAGCATCACTTTCTGCAGATGGAGCCCAGGTTTTGTGGTCGGAAGTGGTTTTTGTCTAGGACTGAGTCATTGTTTTTGGCGTTTAATATTCGCATAGAGAATCCATTTTTCATCACCGGTGACAACTCTGTACAAAAATGGTTCACGCGCATAACGCACCAGAAGAGACGAAGCAACGTTCACACGTTGGAAACGATTATCATCGGAGAGTTCGTGAGGCACCCAAACATGTTTTCCCATATTCCTTAGATGTTTACTTATTGTTTAATGATAAACATGCAATTTCAGGGCCATTTCACGAGTATGTTGCCTTGGGTTAGACTCAACAAGCGTCTTCAGAGCATCAATATCAATTCCAACATGTCTGCCTCTGCCATCACAGTTTTTAAGGCTAAAGTCACCTGAACGAAATTTGCTGAATCAGCGTTGACACTTACGAGTGTTCAAAACATTTTCATAAACTCCTTTTATATTCTTTGTGGCTATAGAGGTGTTGTTCCCTTCTTGTTTTCAAACAGTCTTACATGCTGAATGTGTGTCATTTTTTTGTTCTTGTTGAAGTTCGCGCAAACCTTTCGAAGACTATCTGCGCTACCAGTCCTTAATTTAAAAATGATAGACTAAACTCACTAGAGGTAAAGCAGCTGGTCAATACCATCCACATTATAACACCCCCACGACTGAAAGGGTGGACATGTTCGGTGATGAGATTCGAACCTCCCCACCAGCAGGCCAGTAAACAGAATTTCGTAAAAACCGAGGACTAATCTTACTATAATGGAGCAATTGCGTGACCATATATATCTACGTGACTGAAATAATAAATACAATAGTGCCATCTGTTGTGCTGAAATACAACAAAATCTCAATGCCAGAAGTGGTGATTGAGGCTAATGAAATGTGGCGCCATCTATTGAATGATATCACAAACGAATATCCATAAAAAAATTCACACTTTGGATATTCAAGATTCACACCATTAGAAAATTAACTATAGTACATGCAACAACCATTTTTTTATATAACAGAACACAGTTTTGAATAAAAGTACTCTCGGCACAACAAGAACACGACTTAAGCTATAACTCTACGTGAGGGTTTTATTATATCTCTGTTGATATAACTTTTAAATGTGCTACTATAAAACTGGAGGTCTTAAAAACAGTCGCCCGTAGGGTGGCGTTTCTGCTAGTACCATATAATATTCTAATAAAGTAGGAACTGTCTCCCTACTCAGCAATTGTTTAGTTAGGACACTAAACTGAATGTTATCAACGTGCTAATACTTCTTTATAGGAATATACCCAGAGTGTAATTTCATATTTTGGTAAGACTGGAACAAAAGCTTTCCACTGTTTTTCTACACGTACTTCCATTTTGCTACCTAAAACCTGAAGTACTTGATACAAGAAAGAGTTTTAATCTAGTATCTTAAATGAAAAAGAAACGAAGAAACAGACGTTAACTACGAGAATCAATAATTTCAATTAAAATTGCGCCAAAAAAATCCAGCACCCTCCTTATGCAGACAAACACACACACACACACACACATTATACAGTGAACACGGTTTATAAAAGATATTACATTCATTACTTTAACAATAAAACTGTGAAAAGCCTGAGAGGTTACTTAAAAATGGAGTGAATGTTAATTATGATGAATCGTTAAGAACGAGACAAGAGACTGAAATTAGCAGAGAAGTTACGGTTATTATCAAGATGTGCTGAATCAGACAGGTGACTACAGTTAACAGTGAATCTACTGTTGTTATCCAGGGTTTGCACACAGACATGGTGATAAAATTGAAAGGATTTTTCAAAGCTTCAACTGCTGTTTTTCAAAGACTTCCAACATCCAATTTTGTCCCATTACTCGAAGTAACAGTTGAGCTATTTTTCTGAGGAAATTAAAATTACAACTTCTCTCACACTTCTACAATACTTTTCACTTTAGGTATGTGATCTTATCTCATTTTCACCCATCTTCAACAGATCTGTTACTTTGATATAACACACTGTACAGTGACAAGTTTTCTGTTCTCTAACCCAGCTTTTGAATTCATCTTGGCCTAACCATTTTCTATTGAACACGCATTTCTCCAATGATGAAAAAATGAGATAATAAAGCTTTCAATTCATGAAAATAAGCTTTCATCAAACATCACGTATTTTCAGAATATACATACAGAAAAATATCGCCGTTTTCCGTTACTCACCTAGCTGTCATTACTTTCGACATGTTCCCAGGTGGGACAGCGGTAAACATTCGGATTTACAACGCTAAAATCAGAGGTTCGATTCCTCTCGGTAGACACAGCAGATAGCTCAATGTGGTTTTTACTATAAGAAATGACATACACTTTCAACATTGATGCATCACAGTGGTGCTGAAAACTACGTTAAGATGGTTTTACGGCAGAGAAAAAGCTGAGAAGAAAAATAACGTTTCTCTTTTGTAAACAATGGGAGAGACTAGAATAATAGGTAATAGGCTTGAATAGGTAATGAAGAAACCTGATTATGACGAAACCTTGTCGAAATGTTGTACATTTGCGGTTATGTTAAACTTATGTTAAAGTTTTCTTCATTATCCATTCAAGCTGTCTCCAAGCGTTATATATAAAGGGAGTTTAGTGACGTCATGAAGGTCATCCGGTTTTCCAAGAAATGTTTAGTGTATTTCTCTATGTATTGTTGTAAGCATCTCATTTTCGGTATAATGTAGCCGATGGCGAGAGTGTATGTGAAAAGGTATTAGGGATATTTTACTTTAGAAATGGATAAATATATGGATATTTAAAACTATATTTAAGTATTTAAGTAAAATAAGGTGACACCTGGAGACTGACTGAAAATGATATGTTATGCTAATCAATTTATAAAAACAGGTATGGAAAATTATCTTGAATAAATAGTAAATTTTAGGAAATTCAGCGTTTACATTACATGAAAATATAAACAACGAAAAAAAATGTTTTTCTGAGAGGGATGAAACCAATGAACGGAGATCACTGATTCCAGGATCTAGATTAATTCCGAAAGGTTGAACAATGTTTAGATTAGCAATCCAATAAGCTTCTTTTATTTCTCTGTCTGCTTTAGTTTTGAATCCTGTTTCAATGCCGATGAGAGTGACATCGTTAATGGAATGACCGGGTTGGTTAAAGTGTTGAGCAACTTTTTCAGTGTTAATAGAATATTTATAGTTGTTGAAACGTTCTCTAAGAGTTGTTTATCCTACATATTGGTAATTGCATTTTTTTACACTTTATAAGGTAAATGGTGTTTTTGTTTCACAAGTGATTTCTTTGGATATTTTAAAGTTTCTTTAATTGTGCTTGTCAGAAAATGAGTCAGTGTTTTTTATGAACTTACAGGTTTAACAACGGGCTTTATTACACGGACGACAAACATTATTGGGTCGGATGTAATTCACTTTTGTGTGAACAAGGATATCTTTTAGAGTTCTGCTTTTTCGGAAGGAGACCACGGGAACTTCAGGAAATATCTGTTTAAGACGATCGTTCTGTTGTAGGAGATGAAATATTTTTTAAATATTTCGTAAAACGTTTCTGAGTTTAAAGTGATAGGTAATGATAAGAGGAATTGTATTTGAAAGTTTAGTATTGCTCTGATTTAGGATGTTTGTCTGTCATTTCGATATCTTTATATTCTCTTTGTAACATGGTTTGTTTTAGATCCTTGGTGTGTTTTCTGTAGTCTGTTTCATCTGAGCATATTTTCTTTATTCTAAGAGCTTGACTGTGGGTAATGTTTCGTTTAGTGTGAGAGGGGTGACAGCTTTTATAGTTAAGATATTGTGGTCTGTCTGTAGGTTTTTTGTACAAGTCAGTGTGTAAAAATCTGTCTTTTAGAAAAACAGTGACGTCAAGAAAGTTAATCTGGGTAGGCGAGTAATCACAGGTAAACTTGATTGTTTTGTGAAAGGAGTTTGCATGTGAGATAAATTCTTTAAGTAATTTAAGACCGGCTGTCCAAATGAAAAATATGTCGTCTATGTAACGTTTCCATGTATGAGGTTTTACAGTGCTTATAAGCTTACAAACGTATAGTCATTTAAATATTTCTTTATTAGATTGTAAAAGCAAATTTGTGATTTCATGTGTTGTTGTTGTCGTTTTTGTTGCTGTTTACTTTAAGCTAGCCATGAGTTAATTAAAGTTGTCAGAAAAACTGAATTTCCAACGCTTGATGGATCTACGGTAAATCTAATATAAAATCGTGACTGATTTGCTTTAAAAAACTTAAACAAAAGGTGATGGTAGGTTCTTTTAAATTATCTGGTGAAAAAAATTCAACGTTCCGTCTTTGTAACTATAATAACTTGTTTGTTCTTGAATTTCGCGCAAAACTACACGAGGGCT